CAGTTTTTTGGGTGCTATTGTGAAAGGAATTGTTTGTTCTATTTCTCACTCAGTGAGTCTGTTGTTAGTGCAGAGGAAAGCTATTGATTTTTGTTTGTGTTGACCTTGTATCTGGCTGCTTCACTTAATTTGTTAAATCTAGAAGAATTTTGGTGGAGTTCTTGGGGTTTCTGTATAGAGTATCATGTCATCTGCAAATAATGACAATTTGACTTCATTTCCTATCTTTATTCCTTTTATTTCTTTCTCTTGTCTAAGTGCTTTGGCTAATCTTTCTAAAACTATATTGAACAAGAGTGGTGATAGTGGACATGCATGTATTGTTCCTGATACTAGTGTGAAGGATTTCAGGTTTTGACCATTTAGTATGATATTGGTCATTGGTTTTTCATAGATGGCTTTTATCAGATTGAAGTAGAGACCATCTATTCTAATTTTTGTAGGGTTTTTTCATAAATGCATGTTGGATTTTGTCACATGTTTTTCCTGGATCTATGCAGATAGCCATATGTTTTTTTTTCCCTTGGCTCTATTGACATAGTGTATTACATTTATTGATTTTCATATGTTGAAGCATACCTATATCCTTGGGATGAATCCCACTTGGTCAGGGTGTATGATCCTCTTTGTGATCTTCTGTATTCTATTTACCAGTATCTTATTAAGGACTTTTACATCTATGTTCACTAGTGAGATTGGCCTCTAGTTCTCTTTCTCAGTTGGTACTTTCTCTGCTTTGGGGATCAAGGTGATACTTGCTTCCCAGAATGAATTCAGGAGTATTGCTTCCCTTTCAATTTCATTGAAGAGTTTAAACAGTAGTGGCAGCAGTTCCTCTCTAAATGTCTTGTAGAATTCAGCAGTGAAGCCATTAGGGCCTAGGCTTTTCTTAGTTGTTAAGTTTTTAATTACATTTTCAATTTCATTGGTTGATATTGGGTTGTTTAGAATTTTTAGGTCGTCTTCATTCAACTTTGGTAATTGATATGCATCTAGGAATCTGTCCATTTCTTCTGTGTTTTCCATTTTACTGGTGTATAGGTTCTCTAAGTAGATATTGATGATCCTGTGGGTTTCTGCTGGTTCCATTATAATTTCATCATTTTCATTCCTAATAACATGGATTTGGGCCTTTTCTTTCCTTTTTCTGATAAGGTTGACTAAGGGTTTGTCAATTTTGTTGATTCTTTTGAAGAACCAACTCTTACTTTCATTGATTTTTTGTATAATTCTCTTAGTCTCCATTCCATTGATTTCTCCTGTGATATTTATAATTTCCCCCCTTGTATGAGCTCTGGATTTGTCTTGCTCTTCTTTTTCTAGAAGCTTGAGTTTCAGCAATAGGTTGTTTAATTTGGCTCATTCTGTTTTCCTAATATGCATGGTCACTGCTATGAATTTCTCTCGTAAGACTGCTTTCATTGTGTCC